GCCACTGAGAATCTGATTGCCCTTGATAAAAAAGAAAACCAAGTTAGCACTCCAGGGAGAAGCTGCTGACAAGAACAAAATCTGGAAATATATTCACATATCTTAAACACATGCCAGTATTCTAAACTCATGATGTAGAGGGCACACTTAAATACCATGAAATAATGTTTCCCTTCGATGCTCCCATCCCACCCCTGTGTCATACAGATAAACAGCTGTCTACATATGCATGTTTTTCCAAATCTTATACTCCTTAAGCCTTAGTCCAGACTTCAAATCTAATTGCTATCCTTTTCCATAGGGCAGACTAATTGTTAAAATCTAACAGCAAGTAAAACTTTGAAAAAAATCAAAGCCATATTAATGGATATGAATAATGGAGTGGTAAATTTTTTACACAATTGATTATGAAAAAAGTCACTTCTATATGGCATTTAAAATCCAGTAACATTTCTGGTGCAAATTTATATAATTTTAACTTAGTTATGATAACAGTGCATATTCCTTAGGAACATCTTAAATGGGTAAAGGGCATGAGTCAAAGGGTGCTTACTGGTCAGTGATAAAAGAAAGCATGGGTTGAAACTTCTATAAGGAGTATTTAAAAGGTAGCTAATCCATGTGCAAATCATTGAAAGTTTTTACTATGTAACCATTTTTAATTTCTTGTCTGTAATTTAAAGCATAGTGTTCCTCTAATATTGAACTAAGTAAAACACACAGACCAGGCACTCAGAATATGATCAGAACAACATCTGCAAATTGAGTCAGTTGTGCTTCCTATATTTTAGGGCCGAGAAAAAACCCTGAGGCTTAGGAATGAGATCTGAAAGCAAAGGATTTGTTATGAAGACAGGAGAACTTCTGGATATGCTAGGCTAGGGCCAGAGCACAATGGTTAGAGGATAACTAGATGCTGAAATTGTGGCATGGATCTAATTAATCACAATAATCTATAATTACAACCATAAACATTATTTTTAAATACTAAATCAATTTAGATTCTAGGCTAAACAGAAAACTGTTCAGAAAATACCTTCAGATACTTATTTGAAGATAAAAAGTACAAGTGGAAAATGAAATGACTTTTAGTGCTATGTTCCTACATTTTACTCCCAAAAGCTGAGGATATAATGTCTTGTGTCATTATGCTTACAAAGATAGAATATATAGATAAGTCTTATAATTTGAGCCAGCCATATATACAATCAGATTCCTTACATGTTAAGTAATAACATATTATATAATAAGTTATATAGTATCAGAGGTCAGTTGATAGGAATACTGTTAAATATACTTTTAAAAAGTTAGCATATTTTCTTTCTCTGGAGCTAAATTTGTAATGGGATATTGAAATGAAAGTTTCAGTGGGAACACATAGAGAGCAAATTCTAAGAAAAGTATAGATGTTTCTACTATAACATGACATAAACATTCCTGAGAAATTTCAGTTCTGAAAAAATTTCAGTTCTGAAAAACACTAAAAATGACATGGATTATGTGAAAAAAGGGTACTGGGAAAGACCACTCAAAACCTATGCAACTTTGTAACCAGAGTACAAACCAAACCAGGAATTGGTAACTCTGGAAGTAACTTGGACAGGCCAGTCTGGCAGGTGTGGAGGCTGCCTGTGAGGACATTAAAGATGGACAAAAACAATCAAGTGGAAGTGCTGGTTTGTGGGGGCCCTACAACAAGGCATATAGAATTGATCACCAGACAGTAAGGCTGCTATTAAGGTGGGCACTGAAGGAAGAGCAAGCTACTGAGAGCCTACAAGAGTCTGAAGCAAGGGAGAGAGCCTCAGGTGCAAGTGCTAATTTTTAATATTCCCAAGATACAATGGAAAGGGCTGTATACACAGGAGCCAACGGGATGGCTTTTTTCTTTCTTGCTGAAGGTCAGAATTCAACTTCTATACTTCTGGCACCTCTCACCCCAGAGAAGTTGTGTATGAAATGACAGAATGTCTATAGTACACTGATACCATTCAAATACCTCCCTTCTACACATGAACTAATTCATATTAAACAATCACATGAGGGGCGTGGAGTTCCCGTGTATGCATCCTATCATTTGGGTGGAGGTGGGCCTAGAGTAGACTTGTGTCTGACTCCTGCCTCAAAAGTCTAGAAGGCAAGACTCATATCAGTACCAGTCTGTTAAGAATGTTTTGATGTTTCTTACTATTCTCCCTGCCCATTCTCCAACGATGAAGGAGTAAGAAACTACATGGAGGTTGGGGAGAGAGGAGGATCTAGAAGAAACACAAAGTCAGGACTGAGAGAAGCCAAGCAGTGCAGTTACAGAAAACCTGAAACTTTAAATCATGTTCAAAATTTGGACTGCCACCCAGGAGCAGACATTTTGGTTTCTGAGTTAAGAACTCTATTCTATATATTGGGATCTAAACTAACTAGAGGGCTTTTAACTTATAAAAGAGTGACCAGAAAAGTGATGGCAATCTCTGAATTTTTTCCCAAGGCTCAGGAAAGAACTAGCCCCACTGAGTAAACTTAGAGATATTATGGTAAAACTGCTTTAAGATTATATGTCATGCACTGTGTATGTTCAATGTAAAACTTTCATTTTCTCTTATCATGAAGGTAATACACACAACGGATAATGTAAATAATGAACGCCCCCCCCAAATAAAGATTAATATTTTATTATACCAGCACAGCCATTCTTAATATCCTGGTGCATATTATTTTAACCTTGTTTTCCTTAACGTAAGTATGTTTGGCATTGCATAGCATATACTTTAATGTTGATAAATATTCACTTCACCAAGTTGTTAAACAGCTTTACTCTTTAATAAAATCATTTCTTAGTGACTAAAAATTTGAACCAAAAGAGGAAAAGTTACTGCTTTGTGAAAGCAAATCCTTGAGCTATAGAAACCACTTCACTTGATTAAACAAAAAAAGCAGAATTCTGAGAGCCACAAAATACCCATTTTGTTTGTTTCTAACTTGGAATAGACACATAGAGTAGAATAACCAAATTTCCCTTATCGGGCAACATGTAAACAGTTCTAGTTGTCTAGAGAAGTGAGGCTGTGAGGATCTCAAATGTTTGGCATTGCCTTCCTTACCCAAAAAGGAATAAAGTATGTGCAAGAATTTATGATGCTGGGAATAAATCCAAAACCTAAAAATAAAACTGAATTTATAAAGCTCTCTTTTAAAATTCCACAACAATAAATTCAGTACTTACTGGACTATTGAGAATCATCAGGCACTGGTCAAAATGATGGTGCTCCATGATTGAATGGCAGTAGAGCTGAGCAAGTGGATGTTCACTTCTGAAAATATTTTGTTGAAGAAAGAGAAAAAGATCAATTTCCTTAATATGCAAGTTTATCAGTACGTTTTTATTACTGGCTAACTAAAAAAGAGGCTACTTCACAAAGTTAATCAATTAACAATTTTCTCTCCTTTTATTGTGAAAAGGGTTAGGTAATCTCTGGGAAACAAATATAAAGAGTCAAATTGTTTTTCAAATATCAATGTAATCATTTCCATTGCAAAGTATGAACAATTTCATTGGTTTTAATACTAATTAAAATAGAAGTAAGGAATAAGGACTAAAAATTAATACCTCTAAACATAGGAAAAAAAACCCCTCTGAAATAGTCGTACCAACAATATTTTTAATTTCAAAACTGCAATTGATATAAAATCTGAAACAAATTCACGTTAGTTTTTTCTCTGAAATAATGCTCAGGCTGAAGGTGAGCTTATTAATATGGTGTCTTCAGATATGAAAAGGACTTACTGAGTTGGAATTAACTGAGGTATGAATAATGAAAGGCAAGGAAAAGAGGGATAGTCAGTCCACATGCCCCCTAGGAAGGAAGGAAGGAGACAGCTGAGTTGGAAAGCTCCCCATGTGGGATCCAGGTCATTTTAGTGCAGGATATCCTGCTAGTTCTCCTAACTGAACTTGGTGAAGCAGTAAAAACCCATTGGCTGAGTGAAGAGCAAGGAAAGGATATTATACTCAGTTCATTATATCTGAGACAGTCACAAATAAAGCTCTAAAGCATGACAAGCACAATCCTCCATCTCATGTTTCTCATGACCCTTCACATGTGATTATTAAGCATAGTTCTCACTATTTCTTTTTCATAAGAAAGAGATGAAGTTTCAGAAGCCTCTGATCCTAAAATTTATAGGAAAGGGGTTTGTGAATTGTAAAGGTCCATATAAAAGTGTTGAATAAAACAATTGTGTTGTTATTTCTTCCTATTACTATCTGAATCATTATTTTACTTTGCTTGTAATTTGTTGAAGATAGAGAAGATACCTAAGACTGAAAAAATGTAATGTAGGGGGAAAAACAGGCAAAGTGAAAGAAGCCTGAGGGAAAATGAAAATAGTAAAGTGAAATAAAGGTAAGAGCACAGGTAATCTCATCTATTACTGTTTAAAGTGTCGTCTACACTGCTGATTGATCAATGTTATTGTCCTAACTTTTCCCAAATTAATTCTTGCCCTTCTTGTCTTATTTGCTCCTTCCATATTTAGTGAGTTGGAGTATGGATCAGGTACTGTGCTGAAATAATGCTTGACATTGATTGAATGGCAGTGAACAGAGAAACACAAGTTCATCCTAAGAAAGGATGAACTTAATGGAAACAGGATTGCTTATGTATCGAGACTACTGGGAGTTAGTTAGAAGACTACTGGGAAACTTCTAGTAACCTAAGTAAGAGAGAGCCCAGATCAGAGTTGTAGCAACCCAAAGGAAGAGAAGCAGATATCTGAGAACTGGTTAAGAATAGATCAGATAGGAACTGGTAACTAATCTGACTCGGAGTGGGATGAGGGAGGTGAACGGATGAGGACGATAAAGGGAAAAAGTATGAATGTTAAAGTTTCTACCTTGGGATGCTGACCTCATTTACTGAGATAGGAAAAGGGAGAAAATGATTAGAGACGGGGATGAAGCAGGGAAAGCTGACTAGCTGGATTTTGGATCTGTTCATTTTAAGGTGCCTGAAATAGACCCAAGTGGATATAAATGTCTGAACTCAGTTCTGGACGAGAGATACAGATTTGGAATGCACCAACATGCAGATGGTAATACCCCATATGAGTAGATAAGATCACCCAGGGAGATGGCCTGTAATGACAGCCTATAACATGTCAGGTACTATGCTATGTAGTTTATTATATTTAGTTTTTACAATAACCCTGTGCAGGTCATTTCCAATTACCACATCAAAACTCGCGTTCCCACCTCTTGCTCATCCACTGATGTAGTGTCCAGTGTCATGCACACTTTAACAGACTTCATTCAGGTATCAATTAGAAAGTGTTTTGCCCCAGCCTACCTTCAATACCTCTCACTTCTGCCTTAGAGCTTTGTTACCCCACAGCTGGTGCCAGAGGAATTTTCTCTGCACTCACACTTCTTCAGCCTGGAAGTGTGAAAGAGTGAAGGTCGGTGGACCACCTTCAACCACTGGGGTACAAAGACCTACAGACTATTGTCTTTGTCTTACCAGTCAACAGTTCAGGGTCTTATCTCAGAAGACTCTTCAAAAGCACGTGGCAGGACTGAGCGCAGTATGGGTGGACATCTGGATAACTCATCCCTCTACTGGCTTTCCTTTTTTCCCTGCTTCACTCCCTGTCCCAAATTCCTGCTCCCTGGGGTCATATTCACAAATAAGCTATATGCACACTGATGATCGTCTCAGGTTGTGCCTCCTGGGTGACCTAGGCTGAGACCTCTCTAAAACTGCCAGCTTTTTGCTTTTTAGACAAAGGTTTAGAGAAAAATAATGTGCTCAAAGTCGATATAAGTGGTAGAGATGCCATTCAGGTATATCCTCTTCACTGCAACACACTGTCTTAAGGTACCCAAGTACTTTAAAGGCACAGCGCATGCACTCACTGACCTAATTAGGGGCTGGACCTGGAAATGCAATTATGTGGATATGACACAAGCAAGTCAGAACTTCAAACACACATTACATTTTTAGACGGCGCAGAAAGGGCTCTTTCACATTAGAGAAAATTCTTGGCTTTTGAGATAAACTAATGCAAACTGTGTTTGCCTTTACTTACATTCTAACAATACAGATTCATGAATCAATAGCAGAGTGACAAATGCCCTGAATTCCCTGTATATAAAAACATTCATGGAACCAATGTATTCTATATTTGTTGTATTTTCCTCTTTCAAACATGAGGCTATGTCGGTTCTTTAATTACGGTTGCATCAGAGGGACCAATTTAAACCACTACTGCTACAGAGTTTTGTTCTCATACTGCCGTCAGTGAGCACTGATCGACCAGCACACTCATTCTGCATTTTCCTCTGTTCTGCATAGTTGTTGGTCCATCTCTGACAGGAGTATTAGGATGCTCAATGGAGAAATCAGACCAATATTTTAGAAATAGAAAACCTTAGAATTCTACAGAAAATGAAAACCTCATGCCCCATGGGAGTGGGGAACTATACTGCAACCCCAATCTTCCTATGTCACCAATGCTAACAACGTCCTTGGTTCTGTTTCTTAGACATATATAATATTCTGGTCTCAATTCTCTAACTACCTCTTTGTAACCTTGAATCTCATTAAGTTCTTTACTTCATCATTTCTCTTCATAACATCAGTATTGCCTTTTTCTCCCAGTCAATGCTGTTTTTTTTTTTTTGCCTTCTTATTGTCTATAATCATATTCAGTGACATAGATATTCATAATGATGATTCATTTCACCTTTTGACCTCAGAGTTCTCTGACCTCCTTGACACTACTGATTATCTCTTTGCACATAAGATGGACAGGGCTCCACTTCTTTGTTCCACAGCTACTAGATTCTACTGGGCACAGTATCTTTGCCACTCCCTTTATTCACCACAGACAAAGCAAGATCTTGAACTCCTATCTGTTGCTAAGAACATTCCTCTTTGAAAATTGCTAAAACATGTAGAGCATTTAATATGTGCCAGGAATGTTCTAAGCACTTTACATCTATTTTACCCCTTTAATCCTTAGGAAAACTCAGAAGATAAGTATTTTGATTATTCCATTATACAAAGAAGGAAGCAGGGACACAGAGAAGTTTAATGACTTGCACAAGGTCACAAAGTAAGAGGAGAAGCCAAAATTTGAAGCCAGGCTTCTGGCTCAAGTTGGCTCTTAACTACCATAACCATCATAGACACTGCATGGTGATATAAGGACTAAATGAACAAATATATAAAAAGTGCTAAAATGTTTCAAATGCCATAAGGCCTATATAAGGTTTTAGCTTATATTACTAGTATTTGCTACTGACATATGACTAATTGAACTTGCAGTTTATTCATATTCAGATCTCCAGTCTCTCAAGATCTCCAACCTGACCAGTGATAACCTCATTCATGGATAAAATGGACTCTACCCAGTTTGAACTTCACACATGGTTTGTGTGCGTGTAGGGCCCTTTTATGTCTCTCAGATCCTGCTGACCCTCTATTCTCACTGTGCCAGACCATGACCCTCCAGCTCACTTCTTTCCTCTATTGGCAGGGAAGACACTTATGGGATAGAACAAGTTCTCCCAGGACAAATATACATAGTATGATTGTGGCTACCAGGAGATTTTTTTCCCCCGATTTTATTGCATCTCTACCCTTGTAAAAAACACATTCATTTGATCATTTGACCACCCCTAACTACCACCTTATTTATTATCTTCTACTTATTGCCAAAACTCCCCTAGCCTCCGTCCTTGCCATCCCTCTCTCTCAATGCACACATATACAGATTTCCCAGCTCTTTCATTTTCATCAATGGCACCATCACTGTTCCAATTTCTTATACCACAAGTCATATCTCCTTCCTTCATGCTTATATATAACTAGTTGCTCATTATTAAATTAATTTTTTTTCTCCTTCAGTCTATTCCTCTCTCTAGCCAGTATATAATTTTTCAGCTTATTCCTGACTTGCTGTAACAGCTTTCTAGTTGAACTCTGTGGTTCTAATTTCTACCCACTTACCTTGTAGCTTACATTCAGACTTCTTTCCTAAAACTGTGTGTTTGTTACACACTGCAGTGGCTACCTTTTTTTCTAGCCATATCAAATCCAAAATGTACTGCTTAGTTTTATAATCCTGACTCAAAAAGCTTCTATTTGTTCATTCTCTTTTGTTTCATTCCTAATCATTGTGAACCTTCTAACTCTGGTCAAGCTAGCCATCATCACTGTTCCAAGAAAATGCTTACCTCGTGGTGCTCCTGGAATATCTTTATCCTTTCTCCTTTCTAAATCCCACCCACATTTTAAGACCAAGTTTAAGTCTCATTCCTCCATTAACAGTGGAGATGTACAACTTCTGTTCTGACCAGTCTTCTCTGCTGAACACTGACAGTTCATGCACTAAATAATTCAGGACTAAATACTTTCTTGTAGTGATCACTATTGCTTCATGAGACTATGACCATTCCTTAATGGCAAGAATCACATTTTATACTTCTATCACTCTCTTTCTGCCTCACAAAGGGCAAAAGCCCTAGTATAATAATTACCCATTATCCATCTGCCTAAAATGTAACATAATTTCACTGCATTATTTTACCAACACCATACTTGAATCTAACGAAACACATGCATCTAATGCAGTCTTCTTATATTGACTGAAGGCCTAATGCAGGTAATTTCTCTACCTAAACCAAATGCTACAGGTGTGTTTTCTCTAGTGGTTGTCTGCACTGCAGCCATTTTGTTCCTATTACTGCCTATTTTTAAAATAAGAATTCAGTATATATCTGAGATCATTTTTTTCTTTATTCACCCAAGTGGGAGAAGTAAGCATGAACAGGGAACTCTTCCCTCATATATTCCACTGGCATACCTATAGAACTCCTCTACAAAGGCAGTTTCCTAATTAAAGAAAGAATCAAAGAATCAAATAATGACTGAAGGGGCGACTTCCTCTTGAAGAAATATTTTCCTTCAAGGTAATTTCAGGGCAATTTTCTGAAAAGATGTTCAAGAATGAATGAGGAAAATCTCAGTTTCTAATTTGTCTACCACATGATTATTATTTTTTCTCTTTTTGATGAATTACTTTCATCTCTGTGCATTGTTTTATTGTTTTGATTTTCTCTACATATTAGTTTGACTATGTGATGAGGGCTGGACACAGTATACCTTTTTAGAAGACAGTACTTAAATGGGAATATTTATGGTACTCATAGTCTCCTAAGTCCCCTGGCTAAGAAAATTCTACTTTAAGTATCACTCATTTACCAGCAAGGAAAGAAAAAAAATTCCTGGAAAATTCTTGGTTTCCTCTACTCAAACCACAGGGATGTAGGAAGAAAGAAAAATCTTTGAAACTGCTTTAACTTTTTTAAAAAAAAAAACTTGAGGAAGTCTGCTTTGTGGTGTGTGTGTAAAAACAAGATTCTGCAGTCGATGACTTTTTCCCAGGATGTTTTCTTTCTTTCTTTCTTTTTTTTTTTGGAGAAGATGACGTTTCTCCAGATGTTGTCAGGGTAATTATTTTTAAATAAACAAAGGAAAAAATAGTTGAGTGTTTTTTTAACTCTAAAGCAGGGCAATAGCATCTTAGAGCAATCCAGACACGAATAATCCACATACTAGTAGTAGTATGTTCAGTGTAGCACATGCTGATCCTGATCTTTAGGTTGTGTTGACTGTGGAGGGACATGCTATGTGGCTTGACTCTGCACTATACATCTTTTCATGTCAGTGTCCTCTTTAATAATTACCCTGTGTCTATGTGAAGCTCAGGGTTGCAATCACATGGCAAAGCACAGGGGACAAAGAATATGTCACCCAGTTAGTTCTCCAAAATATGAGATTTTCAAGAGCAAACAGCCAGACTCTGATACTCAGGCAAGTGCTTACTATCTTTTCCCATCGAAGGTCAGCAGAGGACATGGTTGTTACATCACTACAATTCTTTCTACATGAAGTTTTCCATTTATTTAGATAAGGAGAATGTGATTAGAGAGCTTTCTGAAATTCCCTCTAGATATCAGACATCTGGAATTTCCTTAAGAGATCTGTCCATTAGTAGAATCACTTGTGTACTTAAAAAATGCTCAGTAGTAAGAGATCTTGCACTTAAAGTGTAGATCTTTCAACTATATTCCTATAAGAAAATAAAAATATCACAGTGGCTCAAACATTTGATGAAAAGTGATGTCACTTTTATCCTCTCATTTGTTATTTCAAATGCCACTTAAGTATGGCCCTTAAAGGAGCCTGAAACTCTTGTCCTAACGATTAGTATTATGTTCAGTGTATATATGTTGATTTTGATCTTTTCACTCTCAAACTCACTCTCAAACTCAGCCAATAAGCAGACATCTGATGATGATATATCTCTAGCATCTGCTTCTAAGATTTAATAGGTACCAGGCATTCTCCTTGGTATTGATGTACATTATTTTTTACAACTTATATCAACCCTATGAGGTGAGTATGCTATTAACTCCATTTTATAGATCAGGACATTAAGGTATAGAGAAATTAGACAGAGGCCCAGTTCTCCAATATTGTGCTATATGGCTTCTGCTAAGATCAAAAGCCTCCTTCTACTGAGCACTTAAGTACATAGGGCTGAGCTAACCACTTTTCAAATATTACCTTTTCTATTGCAGGGTGAAATGTTACCTTTTCTGGACTAGTCTTAATAGTTTTCTAAGGAAGCTGTTAACCTAGGTGTACATAAACTAAAGTAAAACTCCTGGTAATTATCTAATGAAATAAGATTCTCAACATAAATCTGTTTTGAACTTCAGGGCTGAAAAATTATGAACATAATACTGACCCTGCATTATTTTTTCCATCTCCTTTAAATATAACCAGAGTATGTTATGGGATCTTGACCAATTGCAATTTTGTACCATCAAATTTGCTGTGGTTTTAACTTAAAAAAATACAGCCCTACAATTTAAAGAAAACATTTTCTTGCTTTACTGGGAAACAGTCTTACCGCTGTATGTAAGAGTTATTCACACCACGGTGATCCAAATCATGGCTTAGTGCAGCAATCAGCAATGCAAGTATCTCTAGGTCAGTCAGCTTGTTCTGCATGATCAAAGACATTGGAGGAAAGAGAGTACAGATATAATGTGGTGAAGAGCATTATATTATCTCTTTTCAGTAACCTTGTTTTCCCCACTCAGTGCTTTACCTAAGTACTAGTCACAAAGGATTAATCCTAGAATCCTATTCTTCAGGAAATTGGTTGTCCTTTGTCCTTCAAAATGGGATTACCACAAATGTCACTTATCAACAGGAAAAGCTAAAATGCCTCAATAAATTAATAATCTGTCCACCTATAGTATCGGTAATTCTTAATTATTTAGTATGTGGAATAATCATAATAAACTTTAAACAATTGTTTTTTCTCTTTTAATTCCCTACAGATTTTGTTCATTCTCTGCTATCAGTTGCTGTACACTTATGGAATGCAGACAATGTTAATTCAAGCAAAACAATAGAAAGAAAATGATTTGAAATGAAAACTTGGCTTTAAAAAGTTACCTAATATACTCCCAAGATAAATACAGGCTATTTTTTAGTATCTGCCATGTGTATTATCATAATACTGTTCCCCTTCATTAGTAAAAAAACACAAGTTAAAATTATCATCAGCTGTATTTTCCTAGAATTCTCAGAACTTTAAATAGGTTGTACAACAGCATAGAAATCATCATTTTGTTATTCCTCACAGGGAACAAGAATAGTTTTCAGTGTATCATGATAATCCTTATGACCTTTCCATACCCCAAAATAAGTTTTCCCAATTTCTTACACTGGTTGAGTATCCCTAATCTGAAATCCAAAATGCTGCAAAATTTGTACTTCCTTGAGCACCAATGAGTCTCAAAGGAAATGCTTATTGGAATATTGGATTTTCAGATTAGGTATGATCAACCAGTAAGCATAATGCAAATATTCCAAAGTTTGAAAAAAATCTGAAATCCAAAACACTTCTTATCCCGTTTTGGATAAGGGATACTCAACCTACAATGTTTACTAAAGCAGGAAAATACTATTGTATCAAATTTCATCTCACTTCTTTTTTTTTTAATATATTTTATTGCATTTTAGGTTTTGGGGTACATGTGAAGAACACATAAGATTGTTGCATAGGTACATACATAGCAATGTGGTTTGCTGCCTCCATCCCCATCACCTGTACTTGGCATTTTTCCCCATGTTATCCCTCCCCAACTCTCCACCCTCCCTTCCCTAGTTCCCTCCCACAGACCCCAGTGTGTAATGCTCCCATCCCTGTGTCCATGTGTTCTCATTGTTCAACACCCGCCTATGAGTGAGAACGTGACTTCTTGAACAACAATCACTTCTTTTAGATTTAACCAGTTAAAATGTGCACCCTATGAAGGTAGTACAGAGAATAACATTTTTAGAATTTATTTACAAAAAAAAGGCAAGGAAGCTCTGAATTAAAAACAGTTGTATGATGGATGCCTGGAATCACTTACCTAGAATAACTAGTCGATTCCCACTGAAGTTAGAATCTAAGGACAGAGATAGGGATACAATTTGGCCTAGAAAGCAATGAATTACTTCAACGTTTTCAGCACTGATCTTCCTTTTAAACAGTGTCTGGTCAATTCATAGGAAGCTAAAACCCTTTCGATGAAACACATACAGAATTTACTGAGTGCTCCAGAGAAAATGTCATAGAGACCCCTAACTTAACAATGAAGCAAATTCAGGACTTGGGTGGTTTTTGAGGAATTCTACTCTGGAGCAGGCTGAATGTGAACATGAGTAATGTGATACTTTTTCTTACTAATGTAGTGTTTTCCTCTGAAGGAAATATTTATTTGCCCAAAGATTATTTACATGCAACATGAGGTTATTTTAAAAGTTTTCTTAAATGCCATATTTAATATATATGAAAGAAAATTAGCAACTAAGTATTTTTGCCAGATTAGTCCTCTTTAATAAATAAAACATAACTTATTATGTAAATGACAGCAAATATTGTCAATCAATCATCATCTGTGCACCTTAGAGCAAGCTTGAGAGAATATGCGGTAAATTTCATTACTAAGAAATAAAATGTATTAGTTATATGAATGGCTTTAAAAAGTACCTGAATTTTGCCTGCTTTTAAAGCAGCAAACATGCACTGAGCTGTATTAAAGGCATGTCTCCAATTATGATAGGCAACATTCTTCCGATAATTCTTCTTAACACTTAAAATCCATCTGCAAAGAACCTTTAGAAAATAAAGCATAAGTAGCATCAATAATTGCCAACATCTTCACACATTTACTATGTTCCAGGCACTGTGCAAAGCATTCATATTTAGCCTAATACTGCTATTTTGATCATCTTAGAGACAAGAAAATGGACACTCAGAGACGTAACATTCTGAAGGTCATAATGTTAGTTAGGGATAGGGTCAAAATTCAAACTTGAGCAGTTTGACTTCACAGCACACCACGTTAACCACCATAGTAATTAAATTAGATACAAAATGCAAGAGATCTCCAAGAAAGGTATTTTGGGCAGTGTAGGGCATTGATTAGTCTTTTTTTTTTTTTTTTTTTAAATAAAAAGTCCATGTGTCCATGTGCCACGTCCATGTGTCACCAACTAGGAGAGTCCAAAGGGTCACATAGGTATGAATTCACCATTAGAGAGCCATAAAAGCAGCCACTCTCAACTTCTTCCCATGCTCTCATGTTGTATATCTGTGAAGGTATTTAGTGCAAAGCCCTGGGGGTGAACTAGTAACAAGGTACCTAGCACAAGTCCAGGGACAAATTGGAGCTATGAGACTTAATTCTATCATTATTCAGGTAGTAACTGCTTGGTTACAAAGAAGTAATTAAAAAAAAATAATATATGTCAAATAAAGCTCTGGGGTTCACATAAAAAACACTTTAAAAGATGGCCAGGGGGAGGATAGACTTCAGCAAGTCTCAAGAGT